ACTTCGGCTACGGCCACAGTGACTTAGTCACATATTTCACTTCGGCTACGGCCACAATGACTTAGTCACATATTTTACTTCGGCTCCGGCCACAGTGACCCAGTGTCACTCATTTTACTTCGGCTCCGGCCACAGTGACCCAGTGTCACTCATTTTACTTCGGCTCTGGCCACAGTGACCCAGTGTCACTCATTTTACTTAGGCTACGGCCACGGTGACCCTGTGACACATGTTTCACTTCGGCTACGGCCACGGTGCCCAGTGTCCTGTTCCACTTCGGCTACGGTCACAGTGACCCAGTGTCACTCATCTTACTTCGGCTACGGCCATGATAACCCAGTATCACTCATCTTACTTCGACTATAGTCATTTATTCAGGAAAAGTCATGGATTTTTATCTCCATAGCTCATCTTAATTACTCTTTCTTTCTGCCCCTATTACTTCCACCAACATCATTCACAAGTGAATGACTTCCGGGGAGGGGGGGGGGAATAGTGTAAGGGTAAGTCTAGAGCTTCCCGCTAGAATAGCTACACGGCAGTTACGATGGACATCCTTGTATCTAGATATATCTCAATCTCCCGGTCCTGAAATAACTGCTTGGAGATACATATCACATCCCGGATATTTTGTTAGATATATATCACATCCCGGATATCTTGCTTGGCATCTTGATTGGCACGCCGCACGGATTCTGCATCGGAACATATAAATACCTCTTAAGGGCCACACCAAAAGGTAATGAAAAAACCAACCCTAAACTCCTTGTTCCTTCGCTTAAAAGGTAGCCTTGATTATTGCTAACTTAAGCATCGGAGTGTCTACCCCGAGATCTATCTCGGGGCTTTGCAGGTCAATCCGGAGTGCAGATCCGAAGTGAAGAAGGACGTCTGGTTTGGTGCAGTTACAAGAGGTTATTAATTATTTATTAGATTTGAAAACTCTGAAAATTATATTTATCAAATTTCATATAAAATTAGTTATGCTCTTTTTATGTGTGATTTGTTAGAATATAATTGATTGATAGATTTGTTTTGCGGGTTGATCATTTACTGTACTATTGTCGATTAGATACATTGTCGTTCTCGAATAGCTCGTAATGATAAATTAGTTTGTTCTTTATTGAAATTAATTTCTCTTAAAATAAATATATTAGTTATTATTATTGATCTTCATAATTAAATCTTCCGATTGTTTGTTTGGGATGTGAAACATGCAACTGAGTAATAAATAGAAATCAAAATTTATAATAGTTAAGCAAATCAATTAAGTGAACCCTGAAGTCTTGTTCATCATAATATTGTTTTCAATCTTTTATAATTATCATCTTTTATTTAAATATTTTTATTCTTAATTTTAAAATTTATTTTTTAATTTAATTTCTCATTGTAATAATTCTTTTTGTTGATTTAATATAATTTTCCTGTGAACTCGACACCTAAAGTTACGTTACAACAACCACTTAGTCGAAGGGTATTAATTTTGGGACGAAACATTAGATCAACTGCACTTTCAACCTGATATCTGTCATCCATCTTATTTACCAATTTATCATAACTCGTCATTAAGCAACTTCAAAAGCTCTTCTACAGCTTCTACTTCTCCCTGTCTTTTCAAACACTCAAGACAAGCAGCCAAAGTAAGGTGGTTAAGTTCAAGTTTCCTTGGTGGCGAATTGGCCAAGATTGCCTTCTTCATGGATTCCACTGCCTTCGTCATTTGGTCTCTGATTTTATATCCTGTAGCCAGACTATGCCACATAAATGAATCAGGCTCCTTCCCACTGGCTACATGTCTGTTTATATGTACCTCAGCCTTTTCTATAAGGCCCCTTTTGCAATAAGCACTGATCAATATCCTAGGAACTCGGACATCATAGACTGCATATCCAAATTCCCATTCCTCAAAATTCTTCTGCATCATCAAAGTCTTTCAGCTTCACCAATGAACTAATCATACATATATAACCTTTATTGGAGAATTTCCTCATTTTCTTGTATAAATTCCATATATGGTACACTTCATCTTTTCTCCCTATTGAAGCATATAATATTAGGAAAATCTCAAAAGCAGACCTTCGTGTTTTGTTACTGATTAGTTGCTCAGCTCCCTTCACCATTTGCAAACTATTATCAGTGAGGCCAGCTCTCAAGTACCCATTTGCTGCAATGACATAGGCATGCCAGTCCACTTTGATGCGTCGATCAGCCTCCATCTTTATTAGAAATTTCTCCATTCCCTCTATGTCAGAAGTGGACGCATAAGCATTTAATCTGGTGTTGAAAGTGACTGAATGACAATCAATACCCTGCTCTTCCATCTCTTGCATTAGGCTGTCTAGCTTCTCATGTCTTCCCAGCTGAGCATAGAGCTTTAACATTACGTTATAAGACAATGGGCTTTTTACAAAGCCCAACTCCCTCATATTTTGCATTGTGGCCTCTGCCTTTTCCAAGCACTCTTTTTGAGCATAGCAATGCAGAAGAGCACTGTAAAGCTGGAATGACCTCATTGTTTCAGGGATGCCATTAAAATACTTTTCTGCTTGTTCCAGGCCACGAACTTTTGAGATTAGAACCTGTTGAACTTTTATATATAAAACATTTAAAATAACCAATGGTCCGGTCCAGTCGAGTGGCATTGGACCTTGGGTTAGGGTGTTCACTTTCGGTGGGTTACACGTTCGAGTCTCACGGAATTTTTTTTCCCCCTCCCCTAATTAACTCCGTAAATAATTACACATTGTTAAAAAAAAAAAAAACATTTAAAATAACAAAATTCTTCATAAAATTTTTAAACAAATGCCTATTGAACTTTACAAAAATTCTTAATATATAGCAATGGACTTTAAAAAATCTTTTAATAAATTCCCATTGGACTTCTTTTCAAAAAAAAAAAAAAAAAATC